ATTATTTTTTCGGTAAATACACAGAAAATTTCAACACTCACATTGGAGAAAATTCTTCAATTAATGGGGAAATACTATGTAAAGAAAAACAAATTAAGGATAACTTTTAAGAATTGCTATTTTTTTTTCTATTCAATTATATGTAATTAAAATAAAATTTCTATCATTGCATAATACATACATATATGATATGTCTATTTTAATATTTTTATTAAAATTAAAAAATAAATATAATAATAATACACATTTGTAATGTATATTATAAATAATAATACAAGTTAATATACTTACTTGGAACTATAATATATTGATTGATTTTTGATGTAATGAAACTTAAATTGTACTTTTGAACGACAGACGGAAATGTAAAATTATACGTGTACACAACATTATGCGGTTAAATTCAACTAAATGAATTTTACTTTATCTTATCTGCTCAGTAATTAATTATTATAGTGTATTGTAATATATTTATAATAATTGGATAAAAGGTAACAAATTATCATAGTCATAACGATTCAGTAAGTAGGTTTATATAATTATATCTAATGTTTTTACTTTTTACCACGAGTGCAAGTAACACTACCGAAAGTTGTACCTTTATACTCGAACTGATACCGTTCAATTTTCTTAGGCTTATCAATTTCAGCCAGTTAAAACAAAGTTGGATTTTATTATTCAACGAATCTAAAATCACCTACAATAATATAGGTGATAATATTTACAAATATCATATAATGATTTGGTTTATACTTTATAAAATGTTTAGATATATAGATATACTCGTAAATACCTAATAACATTATATTCATATGAAATATATTTTATACTATTTATTTCAAGTCTTAAGTACCTATTTATAACATAACAAACATAAATCATGTACAAATATATAAATTGTATTTCTTAACTATACACATTTAGTAGAAACTTGAAACACTTTTTATTGATTTGTATTATTTTTATAAAAATATAAACATAAATATAATTCAATGTATTCTTTTTTAAATGCCATTAAAACACGAGTTTGTCATAGTTTTAAAAGTTTGACAAAAAATATGGACATTGCTAAATATTTTATTCTGTTTTGATAGATTGGTTGTATGTTAGTTAATTGTTTATTTATGTTTGTTCTTATTATTTTGAATATTAGGCCAAGAACATCCAAAATTCATATTCATTTAATATTTTTGTCTAAATAGATTGAAAATTAAAGATTAATGTAATTTTATACATCATCGAAACATTTAAAATACTGGTTAACAGATCGATTGTGCAATCTGGAACTGTTTGAATATTTTACTTTAGAAAATAATTTTAGATGTTCAAATGCGTAGACAATACATTTGATGAACGTTCAGTTTGGTTGCCCATATTTTTTCGTTGTTAAAAAAATAGAACTTTTATATGAACCCAAGAATTTTAATTACTGAATTAGATTTATTTCAACTCTTCTTTCTCCAAAAAAAAAAACCTACGCTAGACAAGAGAATATTAGATATTAAATTAGTATAATACTATTATTATATTATTATTTTTGTATATTATATTTCGAATAATTAAACTTTCAAGATGTTAAAGATTGAATACAACAATTTATATGGAACAATTGATTTAATTATTCAATTTATCAGGTGTTAAAAATATAAAATATCCAAAAGAAAAATATACGAAAAAATAATAATAGTAATGATCCAACAAATTTAAATAATGAAAATATTTATACTTGATAAACTAAACATAACTATTTTTTTCAACAACCATAAAATTATGTAAAATTATGTGTACAAAAATCCATTAGTTTAGTATAAGAATAATAAAAATATTTTGACATTAAAAATCGTTTAGTACTTACACGCATTCTCTATTTTAAATATAATATTCACAAAGTTACAATAAAGTTATTTGAAATGTATTTACCTCCAAATTTTCTAAATTATAGTTGGTTGTTTTTAAACACAGCTCGCGGTGAGTAGATATAAAAACGACAAATGAAGACTATCGATTACACAAAAATACAATCTATACACAATATACGTCAAATATAACAGAAACTCGGTATGTAATAATACACGTGAGGCAATTAGGAAATAGCAAGTTTTGATTATGATAGTATATTTACACATGAACATCGAAAATAATAATTATTAATTAAACCAGTTATTAATATACAATTTTACCGAATACGCATACAGCGCCCACGTCCCAAAAAACATATAATATTTTTTTATTGTTGGTTATTTTGTCTTTCAAATATTATTTTCATCGGTGTTGTTTATTTCGGATATAATTTCAGTGAGTATTCTTTTTGGGTATTTTATCACATTACCATATATTACTTTAAGTATGATGCTTTTTATAATACGTTTTGTTATATATATTATTTTTGTCCAACTATTTTAAATGTATATAATATATATATATATATATATATCAATTTTTAATAATACTATGGAGAATTTCAAATCAAATAATATGTTAACCATACAAACTTGTAATTTAGGATATTTTAATAATTTATTTGTGTTTTTATTATTGTTTTGGGTCTTAAGATCATTTTTCTTCTACTTGAATAAAATCAAATCTAAGTCGTTATTATTTAATTACGATTATTATATTTAATCGAAAATATTGAACATGACCTATATTATATTATTATTATTTTTTCAATATTTCACTTGGACGTTGAAATTAATTGACCCGTCATCAATATATCTAACTAACAAAATTATTCCCATTTCTTATTTGCCGACATTTGTTATCGACCATTGTAAATCGCTATTTTCATAAATTACATCTTTGGCCATACTGTAGCTTGGTATAAACAATAAATATACATTATATTATATTTGGCAGGAGTCAGTACGGTGACCGCGTTCACCGTGTGCGTATGTATATCGTAATGGGGCGTATACCTGCGTAGACTACCCTAAATGTCAACCACCCTTTACATTTTTAAAATAAAAAATAACCCGAAAATTGATGGTAGTGTGGTTTGATTGTATTAAAAATGAAGCGTTTTATTTATTTTTTCAACAATAATTGGGTACCATACTACTTTTATTAAATATGAACTAAATGTTAAAAACAAATGTGACGTTTATGTTATGACATAAAATACGGTATTATTATATATTTATCAGTCATGTGTATAACAATAGTTTTTGATTGGTGTACGCGATGATTGCTATGCACAGTTGTTTTTAAAACAACACCTATTGAAAAATATTGAATCGGCAAAAAATGTCTTTTGTGTTCGAGCACTTTCTCTTTTTAGGTGATTATCGTCTAGTCTGTTTACATCTGGAAGAAATATTACCATTGAGCATTGGCAATAAATTAATGTTTTGCGATGATTTCAAATTCAAAATTGATTCAAATTAATAACTTAATTTATTATTAAAAGTAGTATAATAAAGCTTTCTCATGTGTCGAAGTCAACTAATCAGCAAGTACATTTGGTAAGGTTCACTTTACTGATTCTCAATCGGTATGTCATGACAGTAGTACTGTAATAATATGTATTAGTGTGTTATCAAAAATATATTTTTGGTACATTGCTTTAAATTTTAATGTTATATTTTTAATTATACTATTCGTCATTACTTTAAATTTTAAAGTTACATTTTTAGTTATACTATTCGTTTTTGGTCCTAATTATATAAGTTTTTTATGAATTATTTGGTTTTAAGTTAGGGCGTAATTAATTATTGTAAAAAAAAAGGTTAAAATCAACTACGTTTCTACACGATACACTTTTTTTTTTTTTGTCGTTGTCATGATTTTTACAGTACCTAATTTTAATAATATACATTAAATAATCTCAGTAATTATGGTTAAATCCCTTCAGAGAAAATTTTTAATGATTTGCATATTTATGTTATTTAATTTTCAATAAACTTTTTAATTTTTCGTGTATAATTGCATATTACGTTATAGTATTTAAAATCTGTAATACAAAAAGCGCCGATAATTAAATATTAATTTTCTATACCTAGTTATATGTTTCATCTTTATTTCTTGACTAACCACCAAATTTTAAAATAAGAATTTATTGGAGTTATAACTTATAAGCATTTTAACATTGGAATTTTTTTTCATCTTAACTTGCTTCAATATTGAATCATAGAAAAAAAAACCGAACATATAAATATATATATTATGTTCTTACCTTTACATTTGATGATAAATCAATTCACTTTAATGATAAAACTTACAGTTAAATTGATTCTTATGAAGAAAATTTTCTACGTTAGACGTTTGTTTGACGGAGTGTATATGGTGTCTTTATCTTAACCAATCATTAATTGTCAAATTTAAACTTAACCCTCGATTTCTTCTTTATATTTTATAATTTTTATCTGAGCCTGTCAATTACAGGTAGTTAACGGAAAGTCGAATAATAGCAAGTAACATACGTATTTTGTAAACTAATACTCTATATTTTTTCCAAATGTTTTCATGTATTACAAATACACATTATTTAACTCTTATGAAAATATTCCATAATTATTAAATTATAAGTAGTACAAACAGAAATCCATATTAAAATAGACATTTTTGATGAACTAAATGGATGTTAAATCATAAAACTCGTATAAAAAGAATTATTAAAAATTTCGCAACGAAAATTTCAATATTGAAGGAAACATGTGGTTTACAACTTTTCTAAATATTAATACGTTTCACATTAATAAGAATTGGTATTTCATGCTCGAATTCAAAGTAGTACACTTATATTATATTATATACGTTTTCAAGTATTAATAATTAACTAACGATTTTCAAAAATATTTGATGATATATTTATATATATTAATATATATATATATATATATATATATTTATGTAAAATTAAATTGTATAAAAAACAAAATTTTAAATAAAAATATAATACCTAATTTAAAAATTCAACTCCTAGTTACACATAAAATTTAAAGTTTTAACTTGCTAAAAACCTAAGTTGAGTATAAAGTATATTAAACTTAAGAATTACGATTTTATTGTTCAACAACGTCTTTATTTTTCTCTTGGTAAGTAGACGCTATCAAATGCGCCAATACACGTCGTTCTTTTTCCAATATGAAAAGTTGTTCCGAAATTTTTTCCTGTTCTTGTTGTGCTGTTATCAGAGCCATATCAAGTTCCTTTAATTCAACGATTAACATATTTCGTTCGTTTAGTTTTCTTTCAACAATTTCATTATTCGCGTTTTGATCTAAAATTTCCTTTAATTTTTTTACATTATCAGCAACGCTAAAAGTTCCGATAATTGAATATTGATCTTCTATGGTTTTACGTAATTTCTTAATTTCTTGGCCGATCGCTGAATTTTCAAAATTCGTGCTAATGCTATTTTTTTCACTGCATAAAGAATGAATAGCTTCATTTAGCCGATTAAATTGGAGTTTTACTGACCGTACTTTTCTTTTTTCTTTTTTTTTGACAGATTTCATCTTTATTTTTTTATTTACGAAAATGTATTATTGATATAAATTATAGACTGATATTAAAATATTCTATGGGTTTATTTATAGTTAATATGAACCGTTACTATAGTTATTTAAATACAATTATTTATGGTTTGTAAATTTAAATCTTTGGGTTATACAAAAATAATAATAATCGTTATGAACTTATTAAGATTTTATTACCATTATTACTTAATATTTAGAGAGTAATTTTCACTTTTTTATAAATCATAATTGTATATATTATACTATTGTTAAGTCAAATGAACATTCATTTGAAAATATCCCATAAAAAAAAACTTTATTTTTATCAATAAATTTAAACAGCTATAAACAATAGATAATTTTAATTTATTTTGGGTTAAAAAATAATATGTTAATTTTTATTTTATTATTACACTATTAAACACTGGTCCGAAGTAAATAAGATAATTTATTAATATTGTGTGAATATCAAGACATAAAGCCTTTGAGTAGGTACTTAAGGAACTAAAACTGAATTTGACGTACTTTGAAATGTCTCACACGCATATCGAAATAAATGCTAAGTTATAAGTTACTACTATAAAGTACAGACATGTTTTAATGGAATAACAATTACATTTATATTTCTAGATGTAGCACGATAAACCTTATTGTTTTGAATCGTAATTTTTGTTTGTTGTGTTATTATATTGAACTTGAAAAGTACCAAAACTGCTATTTATTCAAAATCATTTGACACTTGTCAACCTGGTTTGTGCAGTGAATTTGATTGGAGAATTTGAAAGTTACCTCTCAAAAGGGTCCGTCTAAAACAGATATTCGAAAGCGAAAAATATAATTTTAAATCTTTGAAGGAGCCTAATATACGTAGTATTAGCTAAAATATGTTCAAAACAGTTATATTAAAAAAAAAAATAATTCCACTCAACTGTAATGAATATAAGATAATTCACCAGGCATGTTCTCGACCATTTTTCAAATTTTGTTTTCTGATTCTGAATTTTATATTTTCAAATACTTTAAATATTTTATGTTATTTAAGTAAATTGATTGCTTTGTTGCCATAAACTATTCTCCTTTTAAAATTGGAAATACCTTTTATTATTGTAAGTGGTTATTGGTAAAGAAGATTTTATTAACAGTTAATATATATAAATTCAAATTCAAATGTGTACTTTTATAGTTATGAATATGAAACTAAGGGCTGTAGTTCATTATAATAGGTTTAAAATTGATTGAGGCAATAATGATATTACGTACAACATTTTAATAGACTATTAACATAACATCAGGTTGTCAAGTCTTATATATAAAAAAAAAAAAAAAAACCATTAAAAAAAAAACAAACATATTTGTCAATTATTTTATTCACAGTTTATATTGCCTTTATAATATATAACACATATTAAATTTACATAATGACGCTAACGTACAAGTATGTTTTGTACCTATATAATGTGTGTATAATGTTACAGAAACACAGCTTTCATTTCAATAATATTCAAATAATCGTGGTTTTTGAATCCATAAAGAATAACACATGAAAAGAGTGAAAAATTAAATTTATTTTTCGTGAATAATTGTGAACATATTTTTTTTTACAAACGCTCTATAATACACAATACCATTATGAAAATATTTAAGTATACACTATTATTTATATACATAAATAAGCGTATTTATACTATATAATCCCTCCAGGATTTTTTTCTGTTTGATAATAACGAGTTACTTACTATAATGGCGCAAGTGCCACAAATGTTATGTTATTTATTTATTCTTCTACCTTATTTTATTTCAACGTAAAAATAATCATCATTACAAAATTGAAAAATACATAAGTATATTATACCTGGAACTTGACTATTATTAGGCTGCCACATTAACAAAAAAATAAATATTGATTTTAGTTTGAAACATATATTGTTTCGCTAATAAATTAAATTTTGAAAATATCAAGAGAAATAAATTGAAAAAAAAATTGGAATTTTTACAGCCCTGACATTTAGTTTGAATATTAGTTACAATAAAAATTGTATAAATTTATGCACACTGGGAACGTTGATTGTGTCACTTTTCTACATGCGTTCACTTAATTCCAGTGATTACACCCGTGAAGGTCTATAAATTAATTAGTACGATTGTTTCATAGAGTGACCTTTTAAAACGTGTGACACTTATAATAGCTAAGCTCCTTATAAAAAAATTTATCTCCATTTTACAATAAATTGTTCTATAACTTTATCAAAATTAATTTAATTGGATTTTTTTTATTGGAAGCTATAAACATAAATCCTTCTGAATTTATTTATTTAAACGAATGTAATATGAGCAACTGAAATAATAGTTTAGCTATTACCTGAGCTGAAAAAAATGAAACAAGATACTTATAACTTAAGTATAAGTGAATTTTAATTGTTTTTTGTTGATATATTATAAAATATATAGATATGTACTTTATTAAAATTATAAAGCAGTCAAACACGTAATTATTTTAATAACTTCATTTTTCTTCGCAATCATTTTTGTAAACGTTTATCATCAATATCGACAAAATCTTATTGGATATTTTTATTGTCGTCACAATTATTATAGTTGTTTGTATACTATAAATCAGGAAATCGGGTAATACGTTTTAACCGTTTATTCCAATTTAAAGCAATGTTTAATAATTCTGGTTGTAAACTATCCATAGCAACATTTTTGTTGTTTCTTTTTTATAAATTTTTAACTTAGCACAAGTCAAATTTTTTATTTAATGTGAAATATATGCTAAATCTAAATATACTTGATTTTTGTTTATTAACTCTCTCCACATGCTTTAAATAACATTCATAACTTTATCCGACATAATAGTATTATATTATATTGTTATTTACAGTAGATTATTTAATTTTTATACATTTATCATCATTTGTTTGTAGTTAATTGAGTTGATTTGAAAGTAAGTTTAAGTTTATAACATTGTAGTTTTATTAATTATAAAGTACAATTTAATAAAATAAAATATTAATAAATTGGTCTGAACGTAAAGTCACTGATTTCTTAATGTGACAATCCACTGCTGACTACAAATTATGTGTACATAATATTACATTATATTAATATTATATTTATACCTACTGTAAAAATAGCACTGACAGTAATTGTTTAGACAATTTTTTTTTTTTTTTTTGCCCACGATATCTATTAGTGGAATTATTGCGGCATCAGTTTGTCGTATGTGGTTTGTCCGTCAATCAATAATAAATGTTGGACATCACTGAAACTGTTAAAAATATACTTTTCTTTTAGTGCTTAAGCAGGTTAATTTAACATTCATTACGTTTTTAAATATTTAGGTACACTATAATCAAGCCCTGATAAAAATTAATGTAATGTTAAAAACATACTGCTTATAACATTAATGTTTATTTTTCACTATATTAAAATTTTAATTTTTTATACGTATGTTATATGCATACATAACATTATACATTATAATAAATAAAATATAAATGTATACTATGTGAATTACCTAATATTTAAATATGCATACAAAATTCTGCAAATGCGTCATTATTATATTATATTGTTATACACTCTGCTATATTGTAAGCACGTACAAAGCATCATGTATGTCACTCAAATATTCCGTATTTTATATTTTACATATTATGGGTCGTTATATGAACGTTCTTATCGTTATATATTACTATGTGTCTATGTAGATTATATTTATTAGACACTGGTGACCGACAAGATAAAATACACAATAAATAGATATTCCAAAAATGCGTTCGTGTCCCAACGAATGGTTTTTATAAATATTTATCTTATTAGATGGTCATTCTTGGTCGTCAATTATTATTAAATAATTCCTAATTATTTGAAAATTCGAGATGGTGTAAAATATATTGTTTCAACAATTTCCAAAGTTAAATAAAAAGCGAGTATAGACAATTTATAATTTAGATGTAGAAATTCTGGAAGTGTGTAGGAACTTTAAATCATGATAATACTACATTTTATCAAAAAACAAATATTATCATTTATCAATTATTAATTTGGCTGTGATTAATTATATTCATTAGTAATTTATATGCATAACATAATAATAGTACGGTTATAAATAACTACTGAACTCAAGCCATGAGAATCAAATAATTATTAGAAGTTGAATTCTTTAATTGTTTTATCTTTATAACATTTACATACTAAACTAAAATATATGAAAAAAAAAAAGCATTGGTATGATAAATTGCTGTTATTTATTGTTGACTTCATATTAAAATTAATTTTTGAAAATGCTGATAAAGGTAAATACTTGGAAATACGAATATATGAACTTTAGACTAGGATTTGAGACTATAGTAGAATGTGGTCAATGCGGATAGGCCATAAGGGACAAACAAAAAATAAAAAAAATCCTAAACTTAAACGACGCATATAACTACATGAAGAAAATAATGATAAATAATAATTCTAAACATACCGCATACTAAAAAATTACATTTTTGTATTAATGTAGTGTTATAAAATGCGTACATTTTTAAAACATCGATTTAAGCGTAAAGTTTTATCTGCAAAGTTCGCGTGCGTTTTTAATAATTTAGCGATGACCAAAGCTCCATTTATTTTTCTATAATTTTATATTATTATCGTTTCCAAGAAAACAAAAACATACTTCACTTGAACCTTCCGGGACCATTTGTTTTACAGCCGATATAGAATATCAAATATTTCATATCGTCTATTTTTTTATGACGTTTACCTAATATCGTGAGCATACTAATATAATATTCAACGATTAATATATAGCTTACAAGCGACTACGACTACGTTATATTATATATTTTTTTTTTTTTTTTTAGCATCTCAATATGTTTTATATGTTGTTATTACACAATTTATATCTATACAGGTACCTGATTCCATATTAACTTGGGTCATGTCGTGTCGAATAAATTGTATTTTGTTTTTACAACGGGCATATAATAACAACGGACATAATATTTAAT